ATGCGCGTCCCCAAAGTCCAACCCATTCCTGCTAGTACTCCGCGACGACGACTACACGATTAGTTAGTGCTTGCATTAGGTGGTGGTTTCTTTTTCTTTCTGCCAAAGAAGTCCAGAACAGTCTGCTAATTTCAGTTCTATACCCTGGTATTTTCTTCTCCGTCCACAGAAACCATACATTCTGTAAAAGCAACTCTAGCCGATCCCCTAAAACCGGGTAGGCCAACTCCCGCCGATCCCATAAAAATAAAGAAATAAAACGGTGAAGTAAAACTTAGTGCAATAGTTTTACTCTGCTAAGTTTTGATCGGACCTAGCTGAACTCCTAAATTTAACGGAGTAAAATGCTTCATAAGTTCAAGATAGGTACGATTTAAACAAACTTCAAAACCGAGATTTGACACATACTGTACATAAGCATCCGCTGAAAGATAGTCTAGTTTGAACATAAACATGAACTTGGACTTATAGAGGGCGGGCCACTACGCCTGAGAAATCCCACTGCCCATGGAGTTCAGCCTTGTGCCATCGTCACCACAGTCGGGGAAAAAAAATCCTCCGCCATTCCTCGACGTCGAAGTTGTCGTCGCCGCCGCCGTCCACCTCGTCGCTCGAGGGGACGATGACCTCCTCGTCGTCCGCGCGCTCCGCCTCCACTAGCTCGGGGTACTGGTGGCTGAGGTCCGTCATGTCTCCTTGTCAGCGGCCTCTGCCGCAATGCGCTCCCTCTTCTCCCAGTCCTCCCTAGCCACCGCCGCATCACTACCTCCGGCGACGGCGGGTTGAGCTCGACAGGCGCCTTGCCCCACGGGAAGTTGAGGCGGCCGACGACGTCCTGCAGCCGGACCTGCCACCGATCGTACTCGTGGGCGGCGAGCTCGGCCATGCGGAAGGAGCCGATCCAATGCTTCTTGTGGGTGTAATGGTCAGTGATCTCGGTCACCCACGCCCCGCATGCCCGCTGCCGGACCCGAGGTACTTCCTCTATGGTTGACGTGGCGCATGGAGGTCGGCGGGATGGGGCCGCATCATCGCGGCGGTAGCGACCTGAGGACGCGCCCGCGAAGTGTTCGTGACAGCGCGGACCCACGCTACGGATGGGCGGTGGGGACGGGCGGCCACAAGATCCGACCATTGGGAAGGAGGGGGCGCCGACGACATGGATTGGGGAGGAGGAGAGATAGAGGAGGGTGAGGATTTTTTACTCAGCTGCCAAGCAGTGGAGTAAATATAGATGCCAGATACACAATGAAGGAAAAGTTATCCTCCTCTATGGGTTTTAGTGGTTCGGCTAGGTCCCGGTTAGAGGAGTAAAAATCTGATTTTACTCCTCCAACCGACACCTAGCCAATCTCCTCAACCGTATAACGGAGCATATGTTGGAAATGCCCTAGAGGCAATAATATTGTATTATTATATTTCTATTTTCATAATTAGGAGTTTATATTTCATACTATAACTGTTGTGATACTGGAATATGTGATTCAATGGAAAACTCACATGCACGTGTGGAATGATAAATGATAAAGTATAGGTTCCCAATCTCCTCTAAGACCGGCTCAAGTATTGCTGGTGATCATGTTTTCCGGGCCTTAGGATATCGTTAAGTGTAACGATAGTCCTAAAACAACTTTGAGAGTATGACGTTAGAAGAACGATCATATTGATTCGACCCTACGTTGAGATAATATCGTCTGAAATCAGTTGTTATAACATGGAGTGTTAGCATGTGTTTTAGTTCCTCGAACCATGAGAGTATCATAGTCACTTCCTATCATACAGTGGACTTTGGGGTTGCTCAAACGTCATCTATAACACGGTGATCATAACAACAACTTACGGTTCATCGAAAAGTTTGACAAGGGACTAGATAGCTCGAGAGTGGGATTTTGCTCCTCCAATGATGAAGAGATATTCTTAGGGCCCTCTCGGTGTGACGACATCCATCATCGTCTGTCCAGACACAAGTGACTAGGTCACAGGGATGCCCGGACGTTTCAACGAGAAAGAAGAACAAAACTGGTAACGAGAACAACGGTATAGTAAGCATGTGTATGGCTCAGGAGGATACCGATGCATACCGAGTTTTTTGAAGTATCACGAAGCAAAGGGAATATCACATTATAACCAAAGGTTCACTCGAATGTCATTCATGTAATCATAGGGTAGATATGGACGTCCACGGTTCTACTATCGGTCATTGAACAAAGGGGTTTCGTTCTTGTTTATGATTTACCAAATCTATGAGGTCACAAGCTTTAGGTAATCATGATACTTTGAGTGTTAGCAGGATGATAGTATTGAGGATTTATTTGTGGAAATTTTTCATTAATATTTGAAATAGTTCTGAGAGGAACCGAAAGCGTTTCAGGGTCAACGGAAGGGTTTCAGAATTTATTGGGCAATACCTGGTATTACCGATAATTAATATACAAGTCAAAGATGTCTCCGTTGATGTTAAATTATATATAATATGCTCTAGTAATGGTTAGAGGGCTTTTGTAGTTAATTAATATCAACGGGCCTTAAAAAGGCCTAGTGGTGAAAGGCAACTTGGGCCACAAGGGCCCAAGTGGACGTGGCGCCCCCTTTCCATAAGGGGAGGTCGAACTATAGTCTGGAAGGTCCCCTTCCCCTATAGCCGGTGCACCAAGGAGGGAGTCCTTCCCTCCTTGTGTGTTGCCTCTCCTCTTCCCTCTAACCTATATATACATGAGATACTGGCCACAATTGATAAACAAGTTTTTGGAGCCTCCTCTAGTTCATCTAGTTCTAGTTTTAATTGGTCCTAGTTGACTAATCAGAGCTAGACCTAGTTCCTCTAATCCTCATAATTAGAAGCCCACTGTGGTTCTAATCTCCTCCCTCTAATTCTCTGGCGACGATTAGCTCTGGACGGTGAAGTGTTGCCAGATCGCGAAGGCCGTACGCTTGGAACCAAGTAAAGAGGCCGTGTGTTCGGTCTTCTGTTTGAGGGATCGTTCGAGGGCGGTTCGCGGGATCGTCTTCAACGGTTTGAGCGACTTCAAGTATGATCTACACTGACTCATCTACTTCCGCTGCCCTCCAGAGTCGGTAACGATCGTCGATCCAAACCCTATATGCATCTTCATATTTGTTCCTGGGTAATCGTAGGGCGAAATATTTTTGTTTTCTACTACGTTTCGCAACAGTATAAGTTTTACTCCTCGTCGTTTCGGTGGTGTATAAGTACTCCACCATTTCGGCTCGGAGTAAAAATTCCCCACCGCTCCGCACCCTTCTCTGCCTCTTACCCCCTCCCAAATCTTCCTCGTCAGCGACTCCCCCACCACTCCCGCACCCCACCACTTTAGCCATGGTCAGATTCTGCTCTCCGCCATTGATCTGACGAGCACAATACCAACGCATCCTCCTCACGACGTTGCCAGGGTGTTGCGGCCCCATCCGGCAGGCTCACCAGCTTCCCTGACCTTCCTGCACGCGTCGCCGCCATAGAGGCGGTACCTTGGTGTGCGAAAGCGGGCATGGGAACGTGGGTGACAGAGATTACAAACCGAGAGACCCAGAAAAGGATGTGGCTCCGATCCTTCCACACCGTTGAGCTCACTGCCCACACATCTGGTATGTCCGCGGCTGCCGAAATTTTGAGTGGGGCGAGATGTTGCTGCTCGATCCACCCCAGCCAGGGTGGTAAACGCGCAAGTGGCTCGGGAGGGTCGAGGGCGAGGGAATGACTCGCAGCGGAGGCTGCCGACAAGGCGTACATGGCCGACCTCCGCCGCCAGTACCCCGAGCTAGTGAAGGTGGAGAGCCTCCTATATGAGCAACGACCGACCGGTGGGGCTAACGTCATCATCCTCTCAAGAGACGAGGAGGACGATGGTGACAGAGGAGGTGTCAACGACGACAACTTGACATTGAAGTGTGGCAAAGTACCTTCCCCGACAGCGACAACAATGACACATGGCCTGACCCCATGGGCGGTGGCATGTCTAGGGCAAACAGGTTGTCCCTCGCAGTCGGAAAGCAACTAAACTTCCAGTTAGATTTAAGTTTTAGTTTATGTTTTAGTTCAAGTTTTAGACAATTTAAACTAAACTATGTTTCACCGGATGATAATATAAATTGTGTGTCGACTTTCGATTAAGAAGTTTGTTAAATTGAATCTATGTTCATCTTATCAAATTTGTTTCTTACTCACGAGATCAGCTAGGTCCGATCAAAAGTTAGTGGAGTAAAATTACTTCACTAAGGACGAGGCGATTCGGTGCCTAAGCTCAGCTGCACCCGCGATGGACAGAAAATTCACAAACAATACTAGAAAAATTCAAAAAATCCGATTTTTTTTGCGTGGACGATAATTTGGTGTATGATGCGCTCCAAATTTCAGATTATTTGGACATCTGAGTAGCTTTTGACAAAAAAGACAAATTTAGGGTCTGTCAAAAAGTTTACTATTCATGTATTATTTTGACCTATTTTGTATTTTTCTGAGAGCTACTTATATGTACAAATGATCTACAATTTAGAGCGGACCTCATGCACCAAATTATTTTCCATGCAAATAAAAAAACAATTTTTTACTATTTAGTGTTTGTTGTGAATTTTCTATAAAAAAGGGTACAAATGAGCCTGGCCTAAAAAAAAGTATATTCACCCACAAAACTTTATTCGACCGGATACTCATCTATTTTTTATAAGGAATTGGCTAGAGTTGCTCCAAGATAAGTGGCGGAGATAAATTACAGATCTCGACAATAAGGTGGCTGAAAACGAAACTTAAAGCACGCGAGGGCTATTTCAGAAAAGAACAAAAAATGGCGTTTCGGTTAACCAAGTTCTTTGACTTACGCTCATATTATTCGTCGTCCTCCCCTCCTCCTCCTCCCATTTTCCGCTTTATAAAACCCCTCGGCCTCCGTCCATCCATTTCCACCTCAAATCTCAAAGTCGCACAACGCCACAACCCAAAGCACAAGGCCGCACCCACCTTTCCCCGTTCTTCTCCGGCGCCGACCATGGCCGTCGACCTCATGGGTTGCGGCTACGCCCCGTATGGCCACGCGGCCGAGGCCGAGGAGCAGTTCCAGGAGGCCGCTGCCGCGGGGCTCCGCAGCCTCGAGCTCGTCATCTCCTCCTTCTCCTTCGGCGCCGGCTGCACGCCGCCCCTCGGAGAGATGGCCGACCAGGCGGTGTCCAGGTTCCGCCGGGTCATCAACATCCTCGACCGCACCGGCCACGCCCGCTTCCGCCGCGGCCCTGTTGGAGATGCCGCCGACTCGTTGACTCCCCCTCCTGAATCCTCTGCTCCTCCTCCGATGCCGGCCCAGGCACCGGCACCGGCACCGGCTGTCTCGCCGCAGCTGGCGCCGCAGAAAAGCATGACGCTGGACTTCACGAAGCCTTTGAAGGCGCCGGCGGCGGCCTCGGCTGCCGCGCCTTCGGTGACGTCGACTTCTTTCTTCTCGTCCGTGACGGCGGGGGGCGAGGGCAGCGTGTCGAAGGGCTGGAGCCAGCTGGTGTCCTCCGGCAAGCCGCCGCTCCCGGCTGGGACCAAACGCAAGCAACGCCAACAGCAGACGCGCTGCGCGCACTCCGACGCCGCCGCCGCGGGTGGCCGGTGCCACTGCTCGAAGAAGCGCAAGAACCGGGCGAAGTACACGACGCGCGTGCCCACAGTAACCTCGGGCGCGGCGGACATCCCCGGCGTCGGCGACAAGTACTCGTGGCGCAAGTACGGGCAGAAGACCATCAAGGGGTCCCCTCACCCCCGCTGCTACTATAGGTGCGGCACCGTCAAGGGGTGCCCGGCACGGAAGCACGTGGAGCGCGCCACCGACGACCCCGCCATGCTCGTCGTCACCTACGAGGGCGACCACTGCCACGACACTTGGCCGCCGGCCGCCGCAAATTAAAGCTCCCTGGCTTCTAACATTTGTTCTTTGTAATGGGGCCTTGTGTAAAGAATCCCAAATTAGGAATATAGAAGATGTTTTCATCAAGATTGGAAACGCATGTCAATTACGTACAAGATTCCACATTCCACAGCCTTGGTGTTGGACCTCGCCGCCGAGGGCAATTCTGGCGGCGTGGTGGTCATGAGCACGACAGTCTTCCTCACCTACCTCCATCCGGCCGCCTTGTGAGGCCCCTGGAGACAATCACAAGCAACAATGGAGGTAGGTGGGAGATTTGGGATGAGCAGGATAGAGAGGCAAGGGGAGAACGAGAGAGGGGAGACAGATTTAGACGTTTTCCATCTCATTAGCTGTCGAGCACACGCGGTCAGAGTTTAAGTAAGGGAGCGCCTACAACTCAGCTGAATGAGATATAGTTTGGTCTCATTCAGATGACATTAGGATGACATCATCATGTATTGATACTGGTATTGTACCTCCGTTTGATAGCTTTTTTTGGCAGCGTGATCGATAGCTTATGCCGCTTTCTCGATAGGCGGCTTGTTTTCTTTCTAGGTGCGCTGTTTGGGTCGTTAATATGGGCCATTAGTGGGCTGAACTGTGTGTCCAGGCTTGTCCGTGTCTCTTTATTATTATTATTTTTTGTGTGTGTATGTGTATTCAATCCATTTGGAACAAAAAAAAAAAAAGCCTACAACCATCTATGAATTGGATGAGCATATTACTAGTCCATTGCCACACGATTTTCCTATTTTTCTTGTAGCTATGTACTTAGCCAGTATATTACGCGCGCACTGCACCCAGTTTTTCTTAAAAAAAGATATTAAAAAGTTAGAAAAATCATTTTTTTGCACCGAACGCTTGTTGTAATTCCAGCGTGAGTGTTGTCTCGACATGCAGTGGATACTAACCTGACAATGGAAAAAAATTGCTTGCAAGTCTACTGGTGTGTGGGGTGTTGTGGATGGGGCGTCATGCTAAATCTTTCCTTTCTGTCTGTCAATTACTCGGGCTGCACAACCGTCGCGACAAAAGGGCTGGCCACAAGCTGACGACTTTCATGCTTGGTCAACAATCACATGAAGATTTGCATGTGTGTGTCACTAACAAAAGAGGAAACTTTGAAAAATTACAGCTTCCTCCTGGATCGCAAATTAAAAATAGTTTTGCCTAACATATTGTGTTCATTAAGCCGAGGCATTTCTAGTTGATTTTTCACTCAAGGAATTTTTTTAAAATATATATATATATATATATATATATATATATATATATATATATATATATATATATTAAAGAAATTTAAAAGAAATAAATGTAAACAAAAAATGATATAAGAAGAAAAGTTAGTTGCACGGGCAATGTTAGAAACCACACCTATGTGATGCTAAGATAAAACCCATCGATAACCACCGACAACCCTCTCCCAACTCAGTTGCGGGCGCTTCATACCTCTTGCAGTTGTGCCTGAGTATGATGAGTTGCAGTTGTACGACTG